GCAGAGTCATTGACCACGGGGCTGGAAGTTGGCAATCATCTGAGAAGTAGCGATTATGAACTGATTGCATTCATTTTCAGCAAACAGACAACAAACTTTTAAAGGGGATACAGGAACTTGGACTTTCAAAGGGGCAGATTTATCATCGCTGAGAAAATTAAAAGAAGGAAAAATGTAAACAGAAAAACAAATAAACATTAGGAGTACCTTTAAAACAAAATTACTAAATAGCTTTTAAAAAAAAAAAAAGCTCTGATTCAGCAATTGTCAAAAAGGATACTGAGAGCTGTGGACTGATGGCATGACTTTCCAGTGCCCAGTATCTCCAGATAACTTACTGGCACGGTCATTCTGTACCTGCTGGTTTAGCTGTTGGAAATCCCAGCACCCACGCAACTCTGGAGTGCCCTTTTACCCCTGCAGCGCAGGCCAGAAGGCAGCAGTTGTGAACAGCTTTTTATTCTGTTTTATTCTGAAATGGGCTGACGTGCAGGCTGCTCTCCCGCACCTGCTCCAGGAACGGACAGAGGAGTTCAGGTCCTGGAGCTAATTTCACATTACATTAATGGCAAAAACTAGGAGATGTTGAGACTGTTAAGAGGCTCCTCCAAAAATATCAGTGTCCTGCGGGATGTCCGCCTCCCCCCTTCTGTTTGCCCCGGGTTCCCCTTTCCCAGACTCCAGCTGCTCCCAGCCAAAGCCGGAGGAGCTCCCCTGATTATCACCTTTGCCGGGATGTGGATTGGGCCTCTGACTTTCCACTTACACCAGCAATTAGAAGGCTGTCCTGAAAGGCAAAGTGTCAGACACTCTTGGTAGGAGTTTGTGAAATGCAAAGGGGAAAAAAAAAAGAGAGGGAGAGGAAATAAGGTCTCACCAGCAGGGTAAAGCTGCAACTTATCCTAGATTTTGAAAGAAAAAGGGACAGCAGCCTTGGTTCAAATGAAACCGTGGAAGGATCGGCCAGGGCAATATAACTTAGCTAGCAGTGGCATTTAATGTGGCTTGAAACCTTTGTTATCTCTCCTAAAATGTACTGATAACAGAGAGAGAAAGTGCTGCTGTCCTGGCCAAGCCCCTCTCATAAGTAATGCTTTCGTGAGGCCAATAGATTTCCCCATGTCCAGCTCCATTAAATACTGCAGGACCTCACAGATCATCCTGTGAGCAGTGCCGTGAAGGCAGGTCAGAGCTCACGCTCGCGATAAGCTTTAACTCGGGTACGCTGCCACTGCGAATGCTTACACGAGAGCTTAACTTTAAGCGTGGGACTTACAGGGCTGTTGAAGCCCTTAATGTGAACAGCACACCTTCTCCTTCAGTACCACGCGGGTCCTCTGCGCTTTCACTAGTGCAGGAGGATGCCCCATGTTTTAATGCCGGTTTTGCCTTAAAACACCTTTACATGTTTTGAAATCGTTTCTGCTTATACGTGGTTCATTACGCCGCTGCACTGCTCTTCCTTTTGTATTTTTACAGCACAGCATAAATGTTAATGCTGAACCACGCTGCTGCCAGCTACGTAAGTTGTTCTGTCTTTCCTCAGAGACTGTGGTGCCGCTCAGACGGAAAGGATAACATGACAGCTTGACAGCCTTTGTATGTGTTACAAGTTGTACCGATATGAAAGCAGCGAGGTAGCACACAGACGGTATCACAGCAAATGCAGCCTGGATTGAAGATGACAGGCGGGGAGATAATTTCCCGCAGCACGGGCTGATGTCTGAAGAAGCCCCCGGTGTGGCAGTATTTCATCCACAGCCTCCTGCCAAGGGGTCTGCGCTGTAGAAATCTCTGGAGCCTTCCCCACATCAGCTCGACCTCCGAGCCTGCTGCCTTTTCTCTGCAAAACCAGCTGGAGTTTGAGGAGCAATGTCCTGTCCCCACAAAAGCGAGGAGTTTCAATCCAACTGTGGGTTAAAAACTAGCCACAGCATCCATCATTCTGAGACAATAACACAGCTGGTTAATTTTTAATTAAGAAGCGGAATTTTTCAGTCATTTTAACAGATGACGGCGATGCTGTGCACAGAGTCAGGGTGGGGAGGGTCTGGGGGGAGGCCCCAGGAGGCCCCATGTGCGGCTGCCGGGAAGGGACGGGGGTACAGACCGCGGGCACAAAGAGATGGGGACGTGAGATGCCAGACACGGGTGTTAGTGATGCCCAGCCTGGTGCATAGCCACCCAGGCTATCTGTGCTTATAGCCTTCTATAAATCATCTCTTCCGCAGGCCTCCGCTCTCTGCTTACCACCAGCCTCCCGGCCCTGGCTGGCACCACGCGCTGGGCTCGAGGGCTGTGCAGAGAGAGGGGCGGTGGGACTGAGGAGGGAGATGCCGTGACGTCTGTGTGGCTCCCCTAGCAATAAGTATCCATGCTGGTGGCCGGGCTTGATTGCTCACAGATTTGTGCCCCGTCCCTGCACCGTAATACCCACAGTTCTCCCCACAGTAACACCGGCATCTCCTCGACCACCGCCTCCCCCTCCCTGTCACACGCATCCACACAGACCCACCGCTCGCTGTTACGTACCTTGTGTCCGCAGGAATCCACAGCAAAGGGAGCCAGACACGGTGCAGGATCCCGGCGGAGGGGAGCAGAAGAGGGCTCACCCCTCGTCCACCCCGCAGGTCCCAGCCCCGCATCCCTGCTGTAACGCTCTGCTCCCCACAGCAGCCTGGCTCCGATTTCTCCTCGGCCTGGGGGATGATGTCCAGAGTCGAAGTGCTGGAGGCTGGAGGGAAGCCAGGGTTAATGCTCTTCATTCTCAGGCAGGAACCAGTTCAAACACTTTCTTCCCAGGAGTGTGTGGGTAAATCGTCTTGTTTTGTTCTTCATGGTGATGGCTGAGCTCATGGCCTTCAGGCTATGCCCTGCCCCAAGCCGGGGTGGAGAGGAACTGGGGCTGAATGCCAATGCCATTGAGGTAGATGCTACATAGTCATGAGAAGGAAATGGCCAGAGATCAATCCGGCTCACCTGATTCTGATTCCAGTAACCCAGCGCTGGTGACTGGTGAGTCTGTGCTTCTGCCTTTTTTTCCTCCCCTTAAAGCTCTTCTTTTGCCACAGGCGTTTACACAAGTGAAAGGTGCCAGCCTACCCAGGGGCCAAGGCGACGGCAGGGATGCCTGGGTGACCTCAGACGTGGGGTCCTGCAGGGTAGCAGGGACACTTGACATCTCAGCTTTCCTGAGGAATGACCCAAGCCACTGCAGAGTCCAGTGGGTCCCTCTTTTCACCTGGCCCATGGCCCATGGCCACCCTGTCTAGCCAGACAAACTCATTTCAGAGTCCTCCCACCAGCAGCAGGTTCAGCCAGGGCCTCGGGGACCACGTCCCACAGAGATGGACAGCATCGACCACTTCATCCCCAGAGCCACCAGTATCTCAGTAGGTTATGAACCAAGGAGAGGAGTCTGACACGAAGTGTGGAAATCATTATCATTGGTGACACCCTGGCCCACAGTTCAGTACAGTTCAAAAAGAGATTAAACCACATTATCATTGCATTTCTGCAGGGGATGTGTTGGTCAGATGTCCATAAGGAAGGGTCAGGGTTAAAACGCTTCACCTGGGAAGGGAGGGGGCGGGAGGCAGCTCATCTCTTTCTGCACTACAGCTCCAGCTGATTGCCTGCAGGTTCTGGCACTGCACTGCTGCAGCTCACATGGAGAGCATCGCCTCTTGCCTCTCAGATAGGTTTCTAGGTTTTCTCTTTAAGAAAGTGTTGGCTTAAACTCCGCAGCAGCTCAGGGAGAAGCGCTGGCGGTGTGGGCTCTCCTCCACCTGCCCATTCAGCCCAGTCCCAGTCCCTGCCCAAGTAGATAAGCTTTACCAGAAGCAGGCAGGATCACGCAGGTGACTGAGAAGAGCTGTTACGGTGTGTATGTTTATAGGAGCTGTGCACTGAGGTACATTCAGAAATATGACAGATTTTTTCCCCTCCACTTTTAGACCTATGAATAAATATAAGCAAACACATGGCTACTTTAATAATTATGTTTTATTGTTTCCTTGAGTTTGAAAGCACACAAAACTTGAAAAATATCCCTAAATTGAAATAACTGTAATACACCACCAGAAAAATAAAGGCCTGATTCTACAAAGTGTTACTCATGCAAGCAAACCTAAGTCCTAATATTCCCGTTGACTTCAGGACTCTAAATTCTGCCTAAAACTGTGCTAAGCCCATGGTGCAGGGGCCAAAAAATATAATCCTTTGAGTTCCAGACAATATTTTATGCACATGTATATATATGTATATATGCATATGATACATACACACATATATATGTTCCTTTGAGCTCTAGACAATATTTTATGTACATATATGTATGTATGTAGACAATACGTATATATCCAATAGGTATGTAGACAATACATACATATATTCATATACAATATATATGTACATGTGTATATGTGTGTGTGTATACAATATATACATGTAAGTGCTTCTGCTCTACAATTCACCATAAACATGACTGGGACAGAGAAGGACCAAAACTTATGAAATGCTCTGAGTCTAAGAATGGAAAGCTGAACCCACGCATTACTTCTTCACCTGGCAGTGATCACTCCTCCTTTGCCTTTAGCTGTTTGCAGTACTCCCGGGGTGGGGACTAAAATAAATTGGACGCAGCTCCATCAAATTCAATGAAATTTGGCTAGCATCAAGGGGGCCTCAAGAAGCGTTAGGCTCCATAGGTACCCCTCATATAGGTATGTGTGAAGACAGATGCTACTCTGAGCCCATCTATACGGACAGTGCCTTTAAGTGCACCCTCTCTGCAGGGTAGTGGGGCATATGGGAGAGCCGCAGCCCCAGCCGCTGCCCACCCTTGCCGGCGGGTACCTGGGGGTCCCCCCAGACCTTTATCGCCAGTCCCAGGGCTGGGGACTGGGGTGGCTCTGGGCAGGGCTGCGGGGAATCGGGGGACTGGGTGACATCCCACTCTCCCCGTGAGAGCCGCGGATCCCTGGCTGGCCACCTGCACCTCACACCAGCGCCATGCCGTCCGTAACGCAGCTGCATTTCTCAACGATCATGTTGGGAAACTCGGCTGCTTCGATCTCGGTGCGGTTGCCCCTCTTGATGAGGTACATCATGGGGAGCGGGGAGCTCTCCGCC